AAACATCTTAATGTCAATTGCATTAAAAATGAATTTTTCTGCTGGGTGTGGTGGTGCACACCTGTAGTCCCAGCACTTGGAAGGCAGAGGTAGGTGGATCTCTGTGAGTTCAAGGTCAGCCTGGTCTACATAGTAAGTTCCAGGACAGCTGAGACTACAGGGAGACCCTGCTTCAAAAAGACAAAAAAAAAAAAAAAGAAAAGAAAAAAGGAAAAAAAAAGAATTTTTCTGTATGAAACTGTGTATTTTAATAATGAAATGGAGATCTTTTTTAAAGGTTAAAATCTCATTTAATGTTATGTCTTATAGGGTTTATACTGAGTACATTATTGTATAACTATACTAATTCAACTGTAAACCTAAAAAATTATAGCCAATTTTGAAAGAGATGCATCTTAGCTCTGGAATATGTCAATGCTGTTGTAATGAAATGCTTCTTCTAAGTATGTGGGTTATTAAATAAATAATTAAAAAAATAATTTAAAAGTTCAAAAACTTTGCTGCCATGAGATGGATGTATGAAGCTACGTAGACGCTGATGCAGCAAGGATGGGGTGAGGATGGCACTCACACTGTGCCAGTGAGATGGAACCAGACAGCCCATTATCTTGCTGGTTATATCTTTCTTGATTAAAGTGGCAGAATTTCTGGCTTATAATTTAGATCTTAATTTATTTTCTGTTGAATCTTTTATTGAATTACAATCAATATATTTTGGAAATTTTTTTAAATTTTTTAAGTGGAATAATTAGCATTGAGTAAAAAGCCATTCGTTATAATTTCTGAAAATGAAACAGAAAAGAATTGAAGGACTAGGCCTATTTTCATTATAGGCTTTCAAATAAAATCCAGTTTGACATTAATCCACCAGTGAGCTTTAGTTCAACCTAATATCACGGATAAAATCCTATAATAGTTTTTCTTAATACAAATAAACTGCCTTCAGAGCAGGACTGAACCTTAACAGCTGTTACCCCATTATTTACCAGTGTGGAGCCCAATGTTCACTAGAAGGAAAAGAGATTATTTAAGCAATGAAGACAGATTTCCCTGCTTCCTTTCCCCCTCCTTAAATGTAACCTAAGAAATTGCTGTTAGTTTTAGCCTTAGGTTTCCTTGAAAAGACAGAATTTATTCATGGTTATGGTATCAATTTAAATATAATGATTAAGGACATGTTATTCTAAACCAAATATCCTGAGTCACTATCAGTAAAGAA